GACTATCATCCGCAAAGAGTAAGCAAGGTATATCAGGGGCTATTAGTGCAATTTTAACCCCGAGGCCTAAGGATTTTATTTTACTAAGAAGTAATAATTTTTTTGTCAGTACTTCCCTACAAATAACAAAGAGGGCCGGGGAAAGAGGATCTCTTTGTCGTAACCCCCTAGAAGGTTTTATGAGAGCAATAGTGACATTGTTGACAGCAGGAGAATAAGACACAGTGGTAACACAAGCTTTAATCCAATTAATCAAAGTAGCATTAAAGCCAAAGGTGGAAATAGTAGCCCATAAAAAATCCCATTAAATGCGATCATAGGCCTTCTCCTTATCTAGTTTCAGAGCTAGCCTACCTTTCATACTTTTGGACTTATTGAACAAGTTTAGAATTTCATGGACCAACAAAATATTATCCTGAATAGCATGATCTGGGGCAAAAGCATTTTGGTGAGGACCTATAACCTTCTTTAAATAAGGTTTCAATCTGTTAACCAAAATTTTGGAGATTGCTTTATAAATAGTAGTACATAGACTAATGGGTTTATATTGACTGGCCTTCGAGGGCAAGTGGACTTTAAGAATTAACGTGATAATAGTATGATTTAATTCTTGAAGAAGAATACCATTGTAAAAAAAAAAAACCTTTTATAGCTTTACAAATATCTTGACCAATTATGTTTCAATAAAATTGAAAAAAATTTTGGGCCATAACCATCCGAACGAGGAACCTTATAAGGGGACATGTTAAAAAAAGCAGCATGTATCTCATCATCTGTAAAAACCATTGTGAGTTGCAGATTATCATTTGGAGAGATGACCGGGTCAATTCAAGGTAAAGAAATGGTTCGATCATGCGTATAAGCAGATTTAAATCTATTAGAGAATTCAGTAAAAAAAGAGGTCTGTAATATTGGATGGATTATCAACCCATTGATTATCTTCATTTTGAAGACGAAAAATTTCTTTTTTACTAGAGCAAAACTGATTCATGAAAAAATCTAGAGTTGCGGTCACCTTTAGTTAACCATAAATTTCCTTCATATTTACCCCAAAATTTTTTACCAAACTAAAGAAGCTTTTCACGTTGATGAATTAGCCGAATGAGGTGTTAACGTATATGGGAATTATCTGGAAAAAGTAGCAATTGAGATTCTACAGAAATCAATTTTGGTTGATTCAAACTTAGTTAAGCTTGCACATTACCATATTTAGAATGATGCCAATGCTTTATGTCTGTTTTAGCACGCTTCAATTTTTGTAAAAAGAAAAAGAAACAAGAGCCAGTATGACGGGTCTTCCAATTCTTAATGATAATATTCTGAGCTTCTACATCTGAAGTCCAGATATTCTGGAATTGAAATGAAGAAAGTCTAGGCGTCATATTATTGTTAGTAAGCAAAACAATAGGGGAATGATCTGAAATAGAGAAGTGTTCATATAAGAGAGTAGCATCCAGATATAAAGAAGACCATTGAGAACTAACAAAGGAACGATCTAATCTTTCATAAAATAAAGTGGGAGTGAAAAGGATGCTTCCACGAGAAAGAGTTTTCCATAGCAGAGATGTCTATAGCCTGCGTAAACTGAGCAAAACGTTGGAGTCTAAAACATCTAGCAGGGGACGGGGGTTTTCCACCTTGCTTATCATTAAGTAAATATAAGTCATTAAAATCCCCAATAATACATCATGGTAGGGGAGAACTTGAAATAAGGTCAAAGATCTCCAACCAAAACATCGCTTTGTGAGAGGTCTGAGCACATATATAGAATATAACATAAAAACAATATCATGTGCTAAATCATGAATAAGTAAAAATGCAATCTTATGCTGTAATTGTATAACAGTGACAGTGATATTAGGAGAGTTATAGCAAACCCGCATTCCACCACAATGCCCTTCCGGATTGATGACATGAACAGATTCATAGCCTAAAGTTTTACTCAAACGATGACTATTCGTAGGGGAGCTCATAGTTTCAATTGCAATAAAAATATCGGGATTGTTTTTTCCTTTAGGAAAATCATCTCACTAATAGCCTGTGAACACTTAGCCCCTCTAACATTCCAACTAATAATCTTCATAAAAGAGTATTAGAGAAGGTAAAAACAAGGAACATACTACAAGAATGTAGGAACAAGGACCTATACAACTGTAAACAAAATTTAATAACAAAATATACAGGATTCATAGAAAGCAATGTCATAAGTTCCTATAGGAACAATAAGAACATAATCAAGAGCAAATACATGGTGAAGGGCGGGAAAACGTGAGAAAATAGGTCAGAAAAAGAAGGCATCCAAAATAGTTTTTGCAAAACAAGAAGAAAGTATATAATTGATCTACAGAGAATAAAAATAACAAATGAAACCAAAAGTACACCAAATAACAAAAGCATAAGTCCAAAATAAGAAAGACAAATAACAAAGTGAAAAGAAATAAACAAAAGAGAAAATAAGCACTGCCCAAAATGAGCAGAAAAAAGGAAAATGAAAATACAACCCAAAAAAGGAAAACTACTGAAAAATAAAAGAAACTAATGAAACAAGAAGTAAGAAACACTAGACAAAGTGCGCTCAGGTCGTAAGTACTACGAATTAGACCAACAAGCCTAGAAGACCCGGCAGTAGGAGAAGTCACTTCAACCTTATACATGAAAAGTATGAGGGAGCATCTAAACCAGTACATAAGGGAATTCATAGGACAAGTTGGAGTTAAATCATATAGGGGATACTTAGTCCAAAGGAAGAAGAGCCAAAAATGCACCACCCTTTGAGCTTTGAAACAGGCAACCAAATTAGCATAGAAATTCAAAAGCAAAGTCACTTCAACCTGTAAATGAGAGAGGGACAAGGAGCAACAATGTAAAGGAGGAGAAACAAAAGGAGCCCTAGTGTCAATCTTACTTGAGGAGGGCATGCATATATGTAATAAATGGTTCAAATGGACAAAGTAACCCCAATAAAAAAGATTCCAGTAAAATTCATCATAGCACTTAACCACAAAACAGTAGAAAGTCCTACAATGAAAGATGGGAAAGCTAACAAAGCATAGGACTAATAGAGGACATGAATCATAAGGGGAAAGGAGAAGACCAGAATAAATAAAGTATGTTAGTGGATAAAGTAAAATCCACAAATGTCCTAAGTGGGAAACCACATATGATCCTGAATCCCAAAAAAGGGAAAGCATACAGCAAAAAGAGAGGGCAGAGAGTAAAGAAACTCAAACCAAAGCAACAAAAAGACTAGAATGGAAATAAAGGCAAAAAGATAAAGGACCCATAACAAGAAAAGGCTAGAAATATGTACATATATTATCATAATTTGATATAGAGGTAGCATCAGGTTATACATCATGAGTACAGATAGTAGAACTATAATACAAAGGAAGAGCTAAAGAAAAAGATGCCTATAAACAATGGGAAAACTAGCATCGGAACTAGTGCATACAAGTACACTAAAATAAAAGATAAGACTATTACAAATATTAAGTAGGAGAATGGACAGATAACAAAAGATTAAAGGCAGGTCGCATACGAGAAAAAGTTAAGCAGAAGAACAGATCATTTTTTGGGGAGCCTCGAAGAAGCTGAGTCTTCAGCATCTTCAGTCCTCCTCCTCTTACTAGAGGAGTCAGAGAAGCAGGCAGAAACATCAACCCCCATAGCATCAAAAAAGCGTTGTTCATCATTAGAGGAGAGGCATGTATGCTGATTGGAGTTTGTGCCATACTCATAAAGAGGAGGAGTTGATACATCAGGAGCAGCAGAATCATGATCCAATAGTTGGTCCATGAGAGAGGGAGAACTATCATCTTCTATCAGAAGAGGGGATGCATCAGCAGCAGCAGAAGAATTTAGAGGGGTTACCTCTCTCATAACATCCTATATAGATTCATGGGCAAGCAGCATTAAATACTGTTATCCATAGGGACAGAAGAGGAGGATGGGACATGCACAACCATGGGACCAAAAGGAAAAGAGGGAATCTCAGGGGAAATAGGTTGTTGGGGCTTAATGACAGTAGAACCAGGTTTGAGCTTAATAGGGCCCGTCAATTTCTTTTTAAATAAAATGTTCCTTATCATCTCCATACATTATATAATTATCACCCTAGTTTTTAGGCCCGAGCGATGCTATGGGTCATTACATGGGGTTGATCATTAATATACATTTTTATTATGACTCAATTTTCTTGTAACTAAATTTGCTAATCATATTGTCATTCGCTACATAACAACATTTTGTATTCAAATGATAATATAAAATATCACATACCTTGATGGTAAAATATAAACAATTCTAGAATTAGAGGTTGCATTATTCTAATTTTGTGGAGAACTTTTTATATTAAAGTGCATGGCATGAAATGAGAAACAAATAGAAGGGAGAATCATGTGACGTAATGAAAAATTGAGTAAGTGATGTGGCGTAATAAAGGGGCTACATGACATATAGACGTTCGTAGGAACACTTTTTAATATATTAGTATACATTATATTGTAAAAAAAACTTTGTACAACTCTTAATAATATTTAAGAGCTTTATTGATATATTAAGAGATTTACCAAACTGGGTATATTTCATTAATATATAAATCTTCATCGATCATTTATAAATAGAGCTTTTGAGTAGATTATGTTACTAACCTAGATAATTATGGGGTATCAAATTAAGCTCAAAATTAAATCGAAATATGGAATGATTATGTTCATCCAATGGAAATCGAATGATTTTAAGACAAAAACTTAGTGAAGGTACCAGGAACACCAACAATATTATTTATTAAATACATAAATTATTTTATGATATGTCTGTAAGTCCAACAGCTAAGAAAGGTTAGGACATATGATAATATATCATTGAGGAAGTCAACGAATTCTTCCAGGAGAACGACGATACTCTTAATGGTACGATAATAACAATCGACGTGTCAATACAAAAAGAAATCAACATAATAAATTCAAACAAAAAAAAAAAGAAATGTAACATGCATGTAATTAACTTCAAATACCACATCCAATTTTATTAATTTAACATTGCATAATTTGTAAATTACAAGCGGTACAAAAAAGGATAACCAATACATTACCAACATACAAGAAGTACTCAACTCTTTGATCAATACATAATCCACATATGATAAATATCGATACTCAGCACATTTTATAGCCACTACTCATTAGTTACCCTTTTGTTCTTGGGAAGTTTTTGTCTCCTTTGGGGGATAGTGACCACCATGTCCACCATGTCCATAGCTTCCATGGCCATATCCGCCACCATGTCCATAACCGCCACCATGGCCATATCCACCACCATGTCCATAACCGCCACCATGGCCATATCCACCACCATGTCCGTAGTGTCCATACTTAGACTCCTCCACGGACTCCTCTTCTTTGGGTGGGTAATGACCGCCGTGTCCACCACCTCCTCCATAGTGGCCACCACCTCCTCCATAGTGGCCCCCGCCTCCTCCATAGTGGCCCCCGCCTCCTCCATAGTGGCCACCACCATGTCCTCCATAGTGGCCGCCACCATAGTGTCCATACTTAGACTCCTCCACAGATTCTGCAAAATAAGAAATATATGTATTATTTTATTAATACATTGATATTCTTTTCTAATCTATAATTTTCTTTAAAACTAAAACACTAGAGCTCTAAATAAAAATTAATACGCAACTATGACGTCCAATCCGCTCATTAGAAAATTAGAAAGACATAAACTTTGTTTATAAAAAGTACATAAATGATGTACTTTAGACATGCATGTCCCAAAACTCTAAATAACGAGATCTAAGTACATGCAATGTGTGCTTTTAATTTCAAAATTATGCACAAAACTATTAAAAGATTATTTAAAAAAAAAACAAAAAAAGAGTAATGATATTTTAGATGTTCTAATTGGATACTAAATTCGTTACAAACTTACTTTTACTTATAAAATATAAATTCTTAAAATTTTTTTCATTTAACGGCTTTCTTGATAGTAGGTGGTGAAAAACAATTTTGTGGTAAAATAAAATTTTGAGAAATTTTGGTGGTAAAAAACAATTTCTTGAAATTTTTTTTTTTTTTTTATTTTTTTTTTTGTGGTAAAAGTGAAAAAATCTTATGAATAAGAAGGCAATTACGTGATTCCTCATTGGTTGAAGATTCAGCCAATTGACGAGCTGAGCATATGACTATAGTCACAGCAATAAGGGCAAGCAGCAAAGCCTTTGAATAGGCCATTTTCAAGTACTTCCCTAGGAAACAAGCTAATCAACTTGTAGAAATATTTGTTTAGATTTAACTAACTCTTCTTTAGGTTTGGTATACAAAGTTAAAACGTAGCACACATATATATAGGCAATAATATACGAAAGAATGAGGGGCCCAAAGTAGGTTAGCAGTATTATAATTAATAGTGGTGGATATTAAAAGAGGGTAAACAAAAATTGAATAAGGGTGATAAATTTGAATATGGCAATCAATTCAATTTTACAATTATGTAAATCTAGGTGTTATAATTTAAACTTAGTACCTGGATATTATGTGTACGTTGCATTGCCACATTTGATTTTAATTTTACTGTTTGACAAGTAAACGCTACAACTAGTGTAGGGTTATGATTGAAAACGATCTCACCTAATTTGTGGATAGGTATGGTTAGGGGTGTTCAATAAAAACCCGACCCGGTTGTACCGTCTCGATTATCCGTTGATCCGCAAAAAACCCGATGGAAAATTGTTAAATTTTTCTGTTTTTTTCGGGCCGGGTATCCGTCCCGTAAAAATTGCATTGTCGCTGGCCGGAACATGAGACAAACTATGCTACTTTCAGGTACCCGAATACCCGGTAAAAAAAAAAAAAAAAAATCAAACCTACTTGAACTAGTGAACTACCCGATTTTAATAAGCCCAGCCCAATTTTTAACTAAGACAGTACAGCTTACAGACTAGTAGACTACAGCTTACTTGCTTAGATCTAGGGTTTCATTGTTTCAATTCATGCCGAAATTCTACAGCTTACTCCCAAACAACCAAAAAATCGCAGCCAATTCACGCCCAACAGAGAACAATTCTTCTTCTTCTCTCTCTCTTGCGCCTCATATTTGGATAGTGGATTCTTATAATATTTTGTATTGTCTCTGTAAATGTTTACAGCAAATTAGCATATATGATCTTTTTGTGTTCCTAGAGAACCCAAGTTAAGCTATTGTATACTAATGTGCTAACTTATGTCATTCTCCTTGCAAGCACCCAGGTCAAGCTACCTTAAATTAACTGATATATAACTTGTTAGAGTTGCTAATGTGCTTTCTATCAACTGATTAACAATATTTTTTCGATCAGCTAACCTTACTCCCATTTCCTGCTGCAGATGTCCCTAGGTAAAAATTACAGCAGATTTTAGGTAAATTTTTTTTTAAAAAAAAATAAATAAATAGATTTCGGGTATCCATAACCCGTCCCGAATAATTCGGGTACCCGAATACCGGGTACCCGAATTATCCTGGACAGGACACGGGCCGATTTTTCAACTACCCGAAGATCTGGGTACCCGGATTTGCAGTTACCCGGATCTGAACACCCCTAGGTATGGTAGCAAATTAACTCCGTACATATTGCAACTCACCTACTTGATACGTACTTTGTTGATATACTCCCTTCGCCCACGATTATCTGCATCAAACGTCCTTTTTGCAGACTATTAGGCAAAACTTTTAGTGGAGTTTAATTAAGTTTGGATGTGTTTAATTAAGTGGGAAAAAGGAGGGAAAAAAGTGGTCCCTTATTTTTTTGTTTTTGGGTGGGTTAAAGTGAGTGAGAAAAAGGTGGAAAATTGAGGCCCCCTTTTATGAGTGGGTAAAAGGTGAAAAATTGAGTGTAATTAAAAGATGTTAAACAAAGTTAAAAAATAAAAGTAAGGGTAAGGTGGTCTTTTTACACTTTAAAATTTACTAAAAGAGGAAAGAAAAAAATTTGTTGCACATAATAGAGAGCACCCATTTATGACAAATGTTACAGATAATTGTGGGCGGAGGGAGTACTAAAACTAGTTAAGCTCATGATCGAGTTGTCTTGGGTTGTATTGTACTAAATATTTAATGGTTATCTGATGTTGATTTTATTTTTAATTTAAGTATTTTTGTGGCATGAAGGTTTATTTAAGCTAATCAACAACATCACTAACTTTCGTAAAATAATATTACCGCATTATTAATATGTAAATAAACTAGCTATTTGGCCCGTGTGATGTACACACTATATATAAAAAAAATTGAAAAAGAAAAAGTGTTAACATTTATTTGTCCTTTGAAATAAACTCAATGAATGTTTTAGGAAAAATGTTGTAATTGTTGAGTGATTGAAAATCTATCAATTAATTAATGAAAGGTAAGGAGTGAGGGAAAGAAAAAAAAAATTACTCTTATGTAAATTGAATAGGGAAATGAATATAATTGATGGATAATTTTGAAGGGATTAAAATATTGGAGATAAGTGGGGAAGATGGAGTGTTAAAGCAAGAGGAATTGTAAAAATCTCTCATAACTAAGGCCAGTGCATTTAACACGTGCGATGTGTGTGCCATATCTAGTTGTATCTGAGGAGCTCTTAGTCTGGCCGTAGATCACAAATTTAGTTATTGGCATTATTAATGAGAGACAATATGTAAACAAATATTTTTTCGATAGTAAATTGTCCACACACTATTCTTTAGAGTTAAAAAAATACTATTAATGAAGGAAAATAAGTAGATAAATATTTTATAGGGTATTATTGTCCAAACACTATTCATAAAAAAACCTATACATATATAAAAGGTATGTATGTATATACACATTTTAAAGGGTCTAATTAGTAACACACTATAAATTCATAAAAGTAATCTTATACTTTTTATAGGAAGAAGATAGGGAAAAACATATAATAAAACACTTTAAGGGGTGAAGGAGAAAAAGTTAAAGCCCAATCGCATGCTAGTACGTCTAATAGCAAGTAAAACCGTTGGAAAAAATAAAAAGGGATCAAAATCAAAATAACAACCATTTAATGACTAGTATCTTTACGCAACTCTGTATGTTGCACTATTCTGCTGCGCGCAATTTATGGGGTTGCGCGCAGATGTCAGGCGCAACTTATGGAATTACGCGCAACATTTAAATCAGCTAAAAGAAGATAAAAGAACACGATCTGCAGCTCGTTTGTTCTTCTCCTTTTTTCCGCCGTTTTCGACCTTACGTACTCTCTATCTATAGCTCAATTTTCATTGACGTTTGAAGCCAAGGAAAGTGGATCTCGTCCCCATTTTATTTAATAATGCTAAAATCCAATGTATGTTTTTCTTGTTATCTTAGTGTAATTTGGTAAAAATTTGCAGAAAATCGAATCAGAGAACCCTAAATTTTGAATTTGGAATTTTTATATTTGGCTTATAATTCTCGAAATTGTTGTTATATATATCATGTTTAAGGATCGTTTTGCAACAAATTTCGTGAAAAATAGTGAAGTATTGAATCCTGTATGAGCATGTGTTAGTGTGTATCGTTTTTGAACTTTTTAGCTTGAATTTCTTACTTAAAATGATATTTCTTGTTGCTTATACAATTATACTTAATTATATATTAATTGTGATGTAAATTGAAGTATGGTAACTATAATTATGCATTTCAATCATAGATGAAATTTTTGAACTTTGAAAATGACGCGAAATGCATGTGTTTTGTTCTTTTACCATACTGAGTTGCAAAATATCTTCTAATGAATGAATTAGTAAAGTGGTGAGTGTTTTAGGACAAGAGGGTTTAATTAACGCCTAAAATTATAAAGTTTGTAGTTGTTTTCTCTGATTTTCAGTGTGTTCAAAGCTCGTAAATCATCCTCTATTTATAGGGAATGGTTAAGATTAAGGTTTCGGATGTACCGAAGCAGCAGAGGGTGCGTGTAAGGTAGGAAGTTGTGCTATGTTGTGGTGTGTGACTTTCTTTCTTGCGCGTGGTATTATCGTAAGATTTGATTCGGTATCTTTAAGAAATCCTGAATCTTTAGCAAGCACAACATTGAAAGTTACGCTGACATGCTAAGTGAGTTATGCGCGGAATCTTCAATGGCGGCTCTAGAATTTTCATCAAAAAGTAGGTTTTAACCCACGCCTTGGTATAGATTAAGCCTAATTTCTAACCAGGCTTAGTACATTAAGATTTGTTTTACTTTGTTTCAGGCTTATCTTGTTGCTTTATATGTCTAAGATTTAATTAGTAGTCCATCCCGATAGCATTCTTCACTTCGATCTAGCATCAAAAAGGAAATTTTATATCGTCATTTCATTTCCAGTCGAGACCAAAGGTGTGGGCATCATTCGAAACGTGCCTACGTTAAGCATGTTGTGAATATTCTTGGCACTCATAAGAAATGGGAATTGACATACGATTAGGGACAAAGAAAAGTAGGGAGCCGCCAACAAGTTTTTAAGGAACTTGTAAATTGTTTACGGATCATTTAAGGCAACCACGATTAAGGGACAACAAAAGGCAACAACAATTGACCTGTGAAGGTTATACCCCATTCATAATCCATGAGATTACTAACTCTATATGGTTAAGAACCACGAAAGGAGGATCAGGGATGATGGTACGAAGTGAGTCATGGAGTCACATTTGCCCGTATTAGCCTCTACTCGATTCTTATTGTAAAAAGTATTCCTGCGATCTCAACGGCATGCAAACAAAGATTTAATTTGCTCCAAAATATTATTAAGCTAAATTGGTTGAAGGTTAATGCAACATATAATTCTAAAATATTGTGATCACTTCAATTAAACAACAAGATTAAAAAGGAACCTAAACCGGTCGTCCAAATTATCTTATTAAGCATCATATTTAATTACATATTCCCTTTAAACATGCAATATGGTGATCATTAAAATAACATTAACAATGGAAGCAATTGAACAATAATGTTAACTATTAGTACATGAAAAACATAATAAAAATCGTTAGAAATATAAAAGGAACAAAAGGAACATGATTCCTTACTTTGATTGCGTTTGCTTGCAACTATAAAACAATAAACGTATTAGTAACTTTAAGTAAAATAATAAACAATAATGGAAATTAAATTAAATCAAAGTAAAGTTGATTTGAGGCTAAACCCTCAAACAATTCTACCTTTCACGCCTTAGTTTAAGTGTGGAACTTCGGGTAAAGTACGGACTCTAGGGAATGCTTAAAGGATGTATGGTGAGAGAATAGGGTAGGCTAGTATTTGGGCTAGAGCATTAGAGAGAGAAGAGAGAATGATTCGGTTTATAAGAAGGAAAGAGAGAATTGTTTGGTGCCCCGAAACGAGAAAT